TAATTGACGACGTCACCATGTACATATATGTGCAGAAAAACAACTCGACTTGAATAAATAGATTGTTTTGATATCACTACAGGACATCGAGTGCGCAAGGACAAGATTCACTTGATCACATCGCGATCAGTCGGGCGATTTCAAGAGAGACTGGATGAGTGCGCGCAGCGTTTCTGCCACTGGCTTTTTCTTGCTAAATCGATCGATTTTCTCACCAGTGGTAGAGCAAGACAGCCGAGAGCGAGGTCACCTGCCGCAGCTGATTCCGAGATTCAAGTACAGAAGTTGCCACGGAAGTAGTTCATGTGTGATGTGTATTCAGGGATAATGTTATATTTAGGTATGATGTTCATGATACAGAGGATTGAGGCGCTTTCAGTTACTCTTTCAAGAGCACTGACTGGGGAATTTCGAAAAGATCGATCCACAGATTCGTCGAGCCTAAGAGATGAGGTCACAGCGAGGGTACAGCTAATTGTCTTGTTTCAGTCTATGGGCACGTGTTGGGGCACTATACTAGGTTATGGTGATCAGTGAACGTGAATAGCAGAACGCAGCACTGCGATCTTGGACAGATCACACCGCTGGTTGTCAAGAGGTCAGCTATAAAAGGGTGGCCCAGCAGTGCAGAATGTGTACGGTATTCCTCCTCTTGGTCCCATCCAAGCCTTCCAGCGATGTTTCCAACAACGCCAACATCAACGCACAACACTTCTTCATGAAGTTCTGTTTCTTCTATTATAATCTTTAGTGAGCTCCTAATGAATTTTCACGTGTTCGCTTCTGTACTCACAGAAGCCTTCTATGGGATCAGATCAGGACTGTCAGTACAAGTTCTTAATTATGTCCCCTAGCAGTCAAATCATTGCATGATGTCTGCTGCGGTAGTATTTCTCGTATTACAATACCACTGAAACCACCATAAAATCATAATGCAAATGAATATATGATGTATCTCACATTTAAGAATCCCGGCAATGTGCGAGAAGAATGGCTCCCTAGCTGTAGAATTGTGGTACTTTTTCACTTGAAAATGCTCCGAAATAAGGGTGGAGGGCGGTGATAGTCAAAGACCATTTCGAACTTCACCCAGGCATGTACGCAGACGCCTTATCTCGTGTGACCAGGCACAAGTCTAGCCACAGGTGCCACATGCCTCATGTTCGGCTGCCCTTTACATCTGCCCACGATAGCAGCTTGCCGTTCATGCTTGCCGCAATAACTCGGCATCGACACGCATGCTGTGCATGTACGCGCATGCTGTACATGCCGGGTGGAGTCCGAAACTGCATCGAACAATGAAACGCTCCAGGTTCTTCTTCTTATTCTTCATCCTAACGTTGTCCCGCTTGTGCAGGGTCCGTTCTTCGGATCGAAAGTCGCCACTTTGCTCGATCTAGTGCATCTTCTTTAGAGAGGTTGACCATTCTCAAGTCCGCATTTATGGTGTCCTGCCAGCGTTGTTTTGGTCTTCCTCTCGGCCGGTGACCGTCTACTTCAAATCGATATGCAATAGAAGCGACGGTATCACGCTCAGCTCGCAAAACGTGGCCATACCACTGGAGTCGTCTCTCTTGCATCTTCTCGGCGATTGGAGCGACACCCATCTGGCATCTAATCACATCATTACTGATTCTATCGAGGCGTGAAATGCCCATTGACAGTCGCAGCATTCGCATCTCCATGGCGTGGAGTTGGCGCTCGGCACTTTTGGTTGCTGGCCAGCATTCGGATCCGTACAGTGCCACGGGTCGAACCATGGTCCGGTATATCTTTGACTTGAGGCTATCACATAGCACCCCAGTGATTTCTCTCCATCTCATCCATGCCGCGTTGACTCTCATTCGAACCTCATCATCAACACCACCTCCGCTTTGCAGGCGGACCCTAGGTACCTGAAAGAGGCGAGCTATTTAGTGGTATCTCTTCGAAATAAGCTAGAAACTCCGGAAGTACACTTTGCAGATCCATAACTTCCTTGAGAGCTGAGCTTTTGAAGAAGAGAAATCAGAATGGTACGTAGTTCATTAACCATGCTCGAATAATTCTGAACGCTACCTCCTTTTCAAAGAAATTTCCCCGTTGTGACGCCGTCATGACATTTTAGTGTCACCTGTGAGGGGTTTTCTTGCTTTGAGCAGCCATAACTTTCTCCACTGTGATCTCTTAAAGGCTGAAACCCGCGACCACAGATCGCGGGTAACGGAGCTCACATACGAACGAAAATGCTAGGTAACTGATAAGTGGAGAAGAGTAGCAGAAAAAAAACCAGTCTAAAGTGTCCTAAATAGGGTACATACCATGCCGACAACAACTTGTACATGCATGCGATGAAGAAAACGCGTCTTTGTACGAATTCCCACTCCTGCTCTTTTATCTTATCACCTCATTCTCACCATTCGCATTGAAGGGAGTTAGTATAGTGCTACTAGTTAGTAGCTAGCAGCCACTGGGGGTCGGCATGGGCCTAATTGGTCAGCTTTCAGTGGAGTTCTTGACGATTTTTACTTTTTGAAGGTAGCACAGCTTCTAAAAATCGCCTTCCGCATCGTTTGACACATTTGGGAGGTCATAGCGTTATTCTATCGAAGAAAGTGCCTTTAAGAAACCAAATATGTGCCGTAATGCAGAAGCCTCCCCCCCCCCCCTAAAAGCATGTGAATTTTTTCCTCACACATCTAAACAAAATTCCCCGCTGTGGTTTCATAGTGACAAGTTTTGGACGACTGGCGAAAAATTCACACGACCGGCGCAGTACCATTTTCAGTTTGCTCAAAGACTTGAGTAAGTTTCTACTACACATCTTTTTCGATTCGATGACATCTCCTCTGTATTGCGCCATGCATGCGACTCCCACGCAGAAGTGCTGGAAAGGTGTAACTTCCAGACAACATTTTTCTGTGCAAGCAAATATGCTCCTATCCAGAAAAGTCCGAGCTTATTCTTTATTTGTTTGTTGATTGATTCATGAAGTCGTCATGGATGCCTTTCGTATTTCTTGTCATTTTCTTTCTGTTTCATTTCTCCGTTCCCTCCTTTCTGATCTTACCCTCTGACTACAGGGGTCTCTTCAAAGTTTATCACAATTTGATGATTTCAAAACTTCGGCGCCGGCGTTAAGCGGTTTCAGACCGAGGCCGATGGGATTGTCGTGTTCATTAGGTCATACCACCCCTGGGTACAGTTCTTAGCGAATTTAGTGCTTTGAGATAATTTGGCGCCGGCGTTAGGTTTCGGGCCGAGCGGTTGTGATATTCGTGTTCAGGGGTCAAACTACCCTCAAGGGCAGGTTTTTAGCTAATTTGTTGGGACGCCAGAAGTTTTCAAGCTAAGCGGAGGGGATGTGGTAATCGTGTTCAGGGGGTCAAACTACACTCGGTAGACAAACTATAGCCTATTCTGCCCACGGGGAAAAAGTTGGTCAAAAACTGACCTGATTTTGGATGAATGGGGCAGTGAAGGGTGAAAGTGCCCAGATTTCTTTATCAATCGGTGATCTCAGCAAAGCTGCTCTCACCACTCCTAATAAACCCTACGCCTAAGAACTCCCCCTCCTTCGGGGCGTGCCTTGCCTCCTCGCCAAAAGGGGTGTCCCTACGACCCCTTCACCCCTGCTTGGTGACTGTGGAGTGTGTGGGAGGTATCTGCTGTGTTCATCAGAATCTAGCTTGTTTATGTTTTATGTTGTTATGCGAATATTACCGAGTGAGTATCTAAGTTCCTAGAAACATTTACCAAACTAATCGAACAAAAGCACTGAAAAGTGAAGAGATTACTTTTCAGTAGTGTAATGTATAAAGTGAAACTTCGAAAAAAAAACCTTTCAATGACGCCGTCCGAACGGAACAATATGAAGCCGAGCACTGAGCGTACTGCGGCAGGGCCGCGTATTGCGATTGAAGCGCTATCGGCTCATGCATTCACATAGTATTTTCTAGTATTAGTATTTTACAAGTATTTTTCAAGTATTTAAGAAGCATACCATCATTTGGAAACATCTTTCGCAGGGCGATAAGAACGGTTCATGTTATATAAACAGGCTATACGAAATACACTACAGCTTTCATCAAGCTCTCATGACGGCTTCTGATCAGAAAATAACGCGGAGAATTTTCGGCAATTTTTGGCGCGAGTTCTTCACCTTTGTATGGAGATAGCCTCGTTCAGTCGTAACAGAACGGAGTGCTACATAGTTTTGGAAACTAGAAAATTTTCTCTTTCCCATAAGAACACCAATTTTGCTTAACAATACCGGAAAACTGCCCGCTGCGGATTCCGCTCCAAAAGTCAGCTTCAGTAGCAGTGTGAGGATCTCCTCTTTACAAAGCCCTTATTATCATCTAGAGAGCTCAGTAGACTTTTCGTACCCCTCTGTTATGCGATGGATAGAAATTGCAGCACAGGGGCGTTGATCAACACCACCATGGAATGCGCCATGCACTCGACTGCCTTTTCCGAACACATCACCCAGTGAAGCACATGTCGTTGCTATGTTCAGTACTGGTCTCAACAAGATGTCTCTCTTGAGATAGTCGGATACAAAGACCGTTTGTCGCGCGTTCGACGCGATCAATGCAGTCGAAAGCATGCGCATCGATCGCGTCGAACGCGCGACCGAAGCGCTGCCGTCGCGAAGTCTGAACGCTTGCAGTATGATCCTATGCTGCGACATCGTTCGGTACGCTCGGCACCAATGAAGCTTTTCTCTCGTCCTGCCAGAAACTCTGAGGTTGGCTCTGTGATGCATCTGTCACTCCAAGAAAAGAGTTTATTTTCATAACACAATGAAATAATTTTGAATATATCAGTAGATACGCACCCGAAGGCAGCTCAGCTCTATAAAACAACACAACGAGTCAAAGTCGAGTTGGCACAAATGTGGCATACAAGCAGTACACGTCATAAGTATTAAATTATCAGACAAGCCAGACAATGGTCACATAGCAAAGAGAATGGCTTATTGATGAGCACAATAATGTAACCGTGTTCGACCCCATTTATTAGATGAGATAATAGGGTGGAGGTGGAGGGTCCTGTATCACCTCCTCATAAGGTGGAGGTTTGGAGCGACACCTATAAAATGCCTGTGTCATTGTAAATTTATTACCCCAAAATTGATTGCCTCTCAAGGTTAAACGACCCCACCTGCCAAATGCAAAGTATATGAAGAGTATAAGAAAGACGACAACTAAATACACGACCACATGGCCGAAGAAAGGAGGCAGCAGGGGTTCAGACATAGCGGGAAGAATCTCACGATCGCAAGCTTCTGCCCAGTATCCTGAAGCGCTCACATCATTGACCGATAGATACATGTTACGGAAATTTTTTTCCGCTCACCTGGCAGGCAGAATTCGCAGAAGGGAGGGGCAAAATGATTGTAGCATTGACATATCCGGCTTGCTGGATCTACGACTCCATGCACACAGATCGGCCAGTCGCACGCGGCCCCAGAATAATGAGGGCCGCAACGATTGTCTGCAATATCGTTTAGGAAATTTATAAAACTTAAGCACACTAGTTCCTATCTGATCCCATTCCCACCCTGGAAATCTGGGCAACTTTCATCACAAAATTTACTCCCGAGGGGTGTTTTATTTTCTGGTCAAACATCACATCCATTTGGCGCCTGTTCTGCCTGACGCTCCACTGGAACAGGCCTGGGTGACTGAAAACGATAGGAAACCCAAGAAAGCATGCCTCTCTTCTCCGATACTTTACAATCTTCCGCGACATCAAAACGGGATGCTACAGGCATGAGGACGAAGTGGCGTTGAATGTTCGTTCGGACTTAATTTGAGAGGGACGCGGCTCGTAAACTACTGAATGGA